CCGAAAAAAAGAAACAAACCTCAGCTTCCCGATACAAAAGGCTGGATAGGTTTGGCCATTGTTTTATCTGCAACTATGGTAATACTGGCTGGATTTTTTGGACGAGGTTGATGTTAATGATGGTTTAGTTTTTTGTTACGTATATGGTTTATGAAACATTTAATGATTAATTGAAAATATTTTTTTTGATTTTAACAGAATTCTACGACACATTCATCAGCAAAAAATTGAAATTATTGAATTAAAAAAAACAAGAACTTTGGTTGTAATTTATTAAAAATTACGTTACAAAATTGTCCAATAATCTAATCAACACCCAACAAGCTGTGCATCGTTACTAATTTATTGACGAACGAACAAAACAATGCTCCACCAAATGTCAAATGATAGATGCTGCTACATTGAAACACCATCAACACGCCAAGGCTCGTGCTGTCATTCAACTGTTAAAAACTTTAGAGATAAAAAATATTTTCAACCATCTCGTTTTTCAAGTGTCACAAATTTCAATTGTGGTTATTGCAACCAGAAATGTCAGAATTATGATTGTGACAACAGTTGCCGTGTGAACCCAGGCAACAACTGCAGTAGGAATTGTTTTAAAAAACACATACCATTACATTGCAACCCACCCCAGCGCCAAAAAAAGAAAGTGAGTTATTACCACATACCCATTGAAATATGTATACCTCGAAAAGAAAGCTGTTGCCAAGTTATTCAACAGCCAAAACTGCAAGTTGCTGACTGTGACGATTGTAGAGATTGTTGCTATGTGTGCCTTGGAAATTCTCGCACTTCTCAACTTGAAGTGCCGTGCTCTCAAAAAGCACCTAGCTTGAATTCTTCCTGTTCCGTTGGCAAACCTTCCTATCTTACGTGCATTCCAAGTGTTACTAATGGCTCTTATCAACCTTGTTTAGAAACAAGTTTATCACAAAACCTAACTGTTACATGTTTACCATCAAATGCCACAAACTGTTATCAATTTTGTTTGGAAACGAACCTGCCACCAAGCCCACCTCCAGAATTGTGCCAGTTATTTTCTCATCAACCAGAAAATTTTGGCAAACCTTCATATCTCACTTGCATTCCAAGTGTTACTGAGAGCTCTTATCAACCTTGCTTAAAAACAAGTTTATCACAAAGCTCAACTGTTACATGTTTGCCATCAAATGCCACAAATTGTTATCAATTGTGTTTGAATACGAATCAGTCACCAAGTCCAACATCAGAAATGGGCCAGTTATTTCCTCATCAACCAGAAAATTTTACTTGCGGCAGAAGATTTCGATGCTGCAAAAATTTGTTACCTCCAACAGGTTCCAAAAATTGTAGCAGTTTATCTTTGGCTTTTTATAGACCATGGTTTAACAAAGACCTTGCTAAAAGAAACAGACTGTCGTCTCAATGCTCTGCAGAAAGTCACAGTAGTAAAAGTAGCTGGTCAAGGAAGGTAGATGACACGAAAAGTGAAAAATCTCGGGCCTCAAAATCTTCGTCAGCTAAGAAAAGTTCTAAACCTAAAGGTTCAAAAGCTTCAAAAGGTGATTTAATAATTTGTTAACTGATTTTAAAACATAACTTTTTTCATAAAACAGTCAGTAGCGACTGTTATTGTTGTTGTTATTACGAATGAGTTATTTTTTATTTGTTTTAATAACTTATATAAATAAACAAAAAAAATATTAATTTTCATCACATAATTAAGATTTATACACTTTATTCACTAGCAAATAAAGTTATCGACACAAGAAACTTTCTTACATACCGTTGCATATAAAATACCATTTTAGACAATGAAAATAATTAACACAAAACAGTGTCACGGTTGATAAATAAAAATTCTGGAAAATTTTGGGAATTAAATTTTTATGTTTCTATTACCATTAAATCTCCTTCGTATGAATATTTGATAAAATAAATTTTTTAGACATTTTTCTTGATTCCGAGAACTACCTACATAGATTGTTGCATGTTAAAATAAAGTCATAATATTTTTGAACAGGTAAAGATATTAAGACATTTTTAAATTAACGACAACCATGTGAACTAAATCACATTCGAATAACAATGCCGCTCAAAATGTTTGCGTTGACGATTGTATTTTTCAGTATTTACATTTTACGTAAAATATTCTACAAATTCTACCGAATGTTTGGCTTTAATATGTTTGTAGTTTGTAATAATTATGGTCTATTACCAACATTTTACGTAAAAGTAACTTTCATTTTGTTGTTCAAACTGAAATAAGTTAATTTATCAAAATATTGAAAAGAATCAGCAAATTTATCATTTGTTAACGTTATGAAGTAACTGGAAATTATAGTTGATACGACTTAACTCAGTACAAAAACTTGAAAAATTTTGATTACCCGATAAAAATTTTAAAATGCTGAAATTCGCAAATATCATAGGACAAATAGTATTTTAGGAAAACGAAATGTCCCCTAATAAAGAATAAACTATAGATAATTATCAGAAAAAGAACGGTTAAATTTGTTCTTTTGGAAAATTACTAAAAAATGTCAATAGAATACAAAAAACCGTTTGCCCAATATATAACTATACCACATTTGAAAAATGTTTTTTTTCAGTTAAACTAAAAACATTTAGTAACTATATTTAATATGTGGTAATTATAAACTTGAGTTTAAAAAGAAGACCAGTGAAATAAATTCCGTTTTTGATTGGATGAACAGAAATCATTTTCAATTATATAATTTTTTTTCAAGATGGTGATTTTTTACTAATTACTCTACAATATCATAATGGTATTACAAATAATATTAATTGTAATGTAAAATAACTTTCAAAGACCTTGCTCCGTCAAAAAGTAACACATTTTCTATTTTAAAAATTTTGATCTTAATAAAAAATTTAAAAATAAACAACGTAAGATATTCAAGAATTTCAAGTTTTATTAATATAATTGTATTAACTGTTCACCGAAAAAAAACGAGCCACTGGTTACTTTGATTACCAGTTTTCCAGACTAGCCATATGTTGCAAAGACCAATCCAGAATTAATAACTTTAATTTATTTTGCTTAATCGAGCAAAAACGTTCAACAGAGCCACTATATGCCATTCGTTATGAACTATAACTATTCGTAATAAACTGTATGATTTGTGTGTGTTATATTTTATTAATTTATTCTCTTAATTGTTTTTCAACATTGTATATTTTTTTAATAATTATTATCCTGCCACACGTCAACAGGGTCCGCCACCACTAAAGGTTATAAAAGGCTGTTATTATTAATAAATATCACTAGCATTTTAATTTTTCTGTAAATTTCATAAAACAAATTTATAACTACAAATAATTTTTTATATTTTTTAATTTAACAAAGTTTAATTTAATTTTATATTTTTTAATTTTACATTTTGAAGTGGATCGGAAATAAATCTACTAAACGTTCATAATATTTGATGTTAAAAATATATCATATATTGTTTTTTTCATTTTTTCCCAGAAAAATCTTCCATCAATAAAGGTTTCTATGCTTATGTAAAAGTAGTAGTAGTAGAAGTAACATTTATAATAGTTGTGGTGGTATTATTTCTATTAATTTTAGTAGTTGTAGTATAGTATTAGTGGTAGTAGTTTTTGTAGTAGGAGTAGCGGTGGTAATAGTAGTTGTGGTAGTAGTAGTAGTATTAGTGGTCACTGGAGGTTGATGAGAACTTTACCTACCTTGGGTTGGCTATTTCCGGTGCTCTGTCTGCAGATTGTGAAGTCAACTGCAGGATTGCCAGGGCGGCCAAAGTAATGACCAGGCTAAATTAGCGAGTATGGAACAACCCCAGTCCAACAGTGAAGACCAGGCTTGGCACTAGGTTGATTACATAAACTGTCTCATGTGGAAGCTTAACAGCTTCCACATGAGATGCTTGCTTCGCATGCTAGGAATTAGATGGCTGGACAGAGCTACAAACACCGATGTGCTGAAGCGAACTGGCGTAAGCAGTTTTTATGTGGTTTTCACTGTTAAGCGTCTCAGATGGCTCGACCATGTTAGGAGGATGGATAACCGTCGTATCTCCAAGGATCTCGTGTACGGTGAATTGGTCAAGGAATCTAGAACAACAAGGCGCCCAAGGCTTTGGTTTCATGCCATTTGTAAGAGAGACATTTAAAACTGCCCCTTCAATTTCTGATCTTGGGAGAGCTTAGCAGTTGATCTGCGGCCATGATGTCAGTCAAGCAGGGTGCATTGAGTGCGGAATTGGAGCGGAACTGGAATGCTGCTCAACAGCCGACGACCTCTATCTAGGCCGGATGTGGTAAAGATTATCATACAAAATTTGGTATGCTGTGCCATTTTCAGAGGTGCAGAATCCACTAACTTTGGTTTTAACTTCATTATAGTCTTTCAAGACGGATGGATGCCGACGAGCACTAGTTGTTTTAGCAATGATAGCACTAGACGTTTTAATATTAGTTTTGGTATTTATGGAACGATTAAAAATAATAAATTAACTAAAATTTCTCTATAGAAATATAATGTTGAATCAACAAGCCAAAACATTCACAGCATACGGCATCTATAAATAATAATAATTTAAGGATAATTATTAAGTAATCAATTTACCATTTTTCACTATTCAACGCTCAATGAAAATATAATATTCACCTGAAATATTTCATGCAAATATTTTTTTCATAATTACGTTAATGGTGTTAATATTGAACATATAAAAATTATTTGAAACTGTTTACATTTCAAGGAACATGTCATCTTCAGTTGTATAATAATATAAAATAGTTCTAAACGCGGATCCGACCGTCTAAGTTTGGATGAGTGAGATGGAATTAAGGATAGTAATATATCAATCAGTGTTGCAATGCATTGTAAGGTGTTGTGCCTGCAATATTTGAGTCAATATAATTGTGTAATAATTTTGTGTGAAAATTGTGAACATTTCAACTTCTCCAGAAAAATCTTCATCCAAACGTTAATATATTTGTTTTAATCGGATCCGATAGATTTTTCACCAAATACAACAATTTATATTAATTAGACATTTCATAGTATTATTCGCTAATTTTTACAGGTGAGCAACATTTTTGAAAACATTTCTTGAGCGCGTAGTAGTCAGATTAACTTAATTTTGAAAAACAATTATTTATTTGTCAAATAAATATGTATTACAAATATTTTGACCAAATATTTTGCTTGAATTTTTAAAATTTTATATTTTCAAGACGATTTTATTAAAATTTTTTATTAAAATCTATCTGAAATGCTTCCTTTGTATACAGCACCACCCAAAAGTTATTTATTTATTTGAAAAAAATTAAAAAACTTAAAAAAATTAGCCGAAAAGAAAATTTAAATACAAAAAGAAAGAAATTAAATAAAAATACTAATTAAGGTAATTCAAGACGACATGAGCAATGATTAGTTAAAAATTCAGGGTGCGAAATAATTTCAAAAAGTATGATATGCGAAGCTTGCTTTCATAGCGGTGAAGTTTGCGTGTGAGAGGATTATCACACGGCATCACAGCACATCATTAACATATCACACCATCAAAACATTTACTCAAAAAATCATTAACAAATCACCAACACAACTCCGACCAAAAAGCAACACACAAGTAAATCACATTCTGACATCATCACACCACAATTATCAACATGTTATCAGCACAGTAAAACATTATCGCATTATTACATTACAGCACATACGTAATATTATATCCCGGCATTACATTACATTACAACACGTTACAACCATTAAATGACAATGGAGTCCAACATTACATTACATTACAACTCATCCTACGTGACATTACATTACGTTACATTACAACACATGCACAATACCACATTCACTCATCATCACAACGTCACATGTGCACTATGTCCATCTTAAACTTGTTCATTGGGTTAACTTGTCAAGCATAAAAAAAAGGAGGCGTTTGTTTTCTCACCAAGCCTAGGCCCCACAAGGTTGGCATTATGAGCAGACGTGGGGCTGGCATTTCATCGAGAGTCGGTTTTTCCGCATCGTTTCCTTGATAGACGTTATTCTAAGTCTTTTTACAATATTCCCTTTTTTACAGTTCTAATTCTAATATTCTTCTGGTTTGTAGTTTTCTATAGTTGAGACTATCCTTTGACACTCATTGTTTAGGTAAATTTGCCGTATTTTTGTGTCTTTCTTTAACATCAGCTTTGCAGATTCCAGTGTCATATACTGCTCCAGGATTTCTTCAAGTGTTTTTATCTTTGATACTGTGAGATCATATTTCATATCTAAGTCTCAAACAGCTTGAATAAACGCTTTTGTTATCGTTTTGTCCCTGAATTCCAAAGTACCTGTTGGTAAGTGTGCTAGCAGAGTCAGTCTCCTATGTCTTGTACTAGTTTTTTATCAGTTTCTCCTTGTTTCTGCATACGGTTGTAGAGCTGTGTTAGGTAGAGGTTTTCAGTATAGTTGTCTCTACATCGTCAGTTTAACACATCGGCTAGAATCTTAAAGTTGTCAAGGTCCTCGGCAGGAATAAATTGTAATACGTCCAAAGCGGAACCTTTTAGTGCTAACACCAATGTCCCGTAAATGAGAGCTGCTGCTTCAAACTGAGTCTGATAGTTTTTCCGGGGAGAAACTTTGTCAAATGTTGGTGCTTTTATTGACTTGGCAGGGATGTATCCGTGTAAGGTGGCTCTGGTAATTTTCTCTATTTTTCGCTGGTGCTTCCGTTCTAGTTCGCTGACTCGTTTGATTATTTCGTATGTTTTCTGGTAAATTTTCTGGTTTAACTTAACAAATTGCTGGTCTATTTTATCAATCCGTTCATTTAATTTTAATTTGAAAACTCTTTCTTGTTTGCTGTTCTCTCTTATTGTTTATTCCGTAGAACCAGTCGTTTAGTTCCGTTTTGAAATCTTTTGATTGCTGGTCAATCTTGTCGTTTTGTTGATCGAATCTTCTATTTATTTTGGCAAGCTGTTGTTGTTGTTGATCAAATCTTTTTATTTAGTTTCTCCATAAAATCCGGAAAGTCGAACACATGTGGTTTGTTACCTATGTTTATAAGAGCGTCCCTTTCAAGTCGAGGTTACGTTTTTGTAGGTTTTTTCATATAATTTTTGTATTGAACTTTTCTAATGCTGTTGGCATTTTTTATTGCAGGAAATTTCATTTTACTTCTCACACCAGTGTTATGACCTTTGAATGCTCGTAACTACGTAAACACCAATGTTATAACTTTAAAAGATCTTTATATTTCCAGCATCAGTGTTATAGCTTCCAACGATCGTCAAGTTACCGTTATTCCTTATGTTCAAGATTTCCGATAAATGAACACAACTTCTTTGTTGAAGGTTTATTTGAATACTAACAGTAATAGGAACACTTGATTACAATCAAAGTAACTACATAAACCACATTTACACATTTGCTTTAAGCTTTGGTCCAAAACTTTCTTCACAAGTTTTTATATAGCCTCTACAGTAGATTTTTATAATCAAAGTTACAATAATAACAAAAATAACAAAAAAAAAGAATAATGAAGATAGCAAATAATATAATAAATAGCACAATTTGACCGTTGCTGCGGTTATAACATAAAATTAATTACCTGACAATTACTCGCTTGCTTGGCAAGTTTGGTTGTATGTGAAAATAATATTTACTTATGTAGAATCAAAGGTTTTCTGCTGGTACCATTACTGCGATGTCCCATGAAACGTTCACTCATGTATGCTAAACTATTCAATTATTCATCAACACACTTTTGTAGGAAATTTTAACTGAACAATGGAACATCACGGTTTTTTCATATTACTGCTCGTATATTTTATTTTTAAAACATGTCTCATGCACAGCTTTGAAATAAATTTTTAGGAATGCAATGATTGTTGCCACAAACGCAGCCCTTGGGTGGTTTTGGATGATTTGTTTGCAGAAATATAAAATTTAACGGGGTACCTATACAAAATTATTTCAACCTCTTTCATAACCGTAATATTTGGCAAATTTTCAAATAAAAACACTTGTCATAACACACAATTTGTGAAAGAAACTGAATAAGCTAAAAATTGGCTTATTGCATTTCAAATCAACTTTTTAAAGGCAAACATTTTTGTTGAAACAAGAGTATTTATTTGAAATAATAGGACGTTTTAGACTGCATGTCAAAAAATTTTTTTGAAATTTAATTTTTGAAAAACCTAGATATATATTCGACTAAACCAATTTTTCAGATAATTTTTATGAAAAAAGTATTAAATATAGAAATTATAGCAGTTATTGAAATTGTTGGGGCAGTTTGCACTCATTTGTTAAATTCTCTCTTAAAATAGAGCGTAGAAATATAAATGCGCTTAAAACAACGCATCACAAACATCCTACAGCCGACAGACAGAAATCAATTCGAGCCCATTCACTCCGGTACCAAGACCAGATGTCTCAACCAGTGCACCGTCTCAACGTCCCATTATGAATTCGGTTATATTTTGAGTGGTGCATCAGCATTGCTATACAATTTAAATTTTTCCAACAAATAATAATTTTGCTGGAACAGATCAATAAGTGAAAATTAGTTATTGCCTAATTTTTAAAAACAAATAGTCAAAAGTAAGTTTTTATATAAATTAACGTTAGTTTCAATTTTTTAAAAATTTAATCACGTTTCATTGGCAACGTTCCAATTAGGCATACTGAACCTCATAGAAACTCCAGTTGGTGCTGGCAGTCAAGTAGCTCTGGTTGTACCCGTTAACATGTTTGTTCAATTCGCATGTTGCATCAGTTGAATGGAAGTTGAACGAGTCACACTTGCCTGGAAGACACTTCAACAAGCACATCATCTCATATTCGGCGGTCACGGCGAGAGAGTAGTTTCCAGTCAATCTCGTGTTGGATTTACGTTTCCAAATTTTAGCTGCAAAAATAATGATTCGATAGAAATGAATGTATAAAAAAAAATTGAAATGAATGTAACATTTGTGATCCTTAGCAGCGTAAACTTCCATCTCACAAGAGGAGAACCATCCATATCCATCGGCAGGTTGTTGAGCGATGACGTAACGATAAGGTGCAAGATTGGCGTTGCACTTCAATGTCAGCCTGGCACTGGCAGCCGCCTTGTACTTGTACTGACCACAGAGAGGGTAGGTCCCTCTGATGATGTTTGATCCAGGCGATGAGAAGGTCAGTCCAATCAGGAAGTAGTCCAGTGGTGGAGCTGCAATTGAAGTATTTGATTGTTTAATAACTACGGTTATTAAATTTAAACCGGTTCAAATTTACTCAAATTTTCCACATTTCAAAATTAAACAACTGTCTTGTGTAAAAATCGCTAGTTAACTTGTTTGTAAGCTTTTACCTAAAGTGTGAAATGACGCAAAAGTAAGCCAAATTCAAACGTTTTGTGGAGGTCTTTGTTAGTTGCTCAGACAATAGGTTTGCCATTTTTACTCTGTCATTGTGTGCAAGCTTGGCTCCACTTTAAGTTCAACGTATGTTTTGTGTGTATGATGCACTGTTTGTTCAAGTCATGAGGCATGGTTTTTAGTGTTTTATGGCACAAACTAGCTTAAATTTGCTTAGAACGATTCAGAAGAAGCTTAGTGTTTTTCAGAGCTGAGTAATAAGAACGAAATAAGTTTTATAGAGTTGCATCTTTGCTGCGACGAGGCAAAATATTATAATTGTTTTTTGTTCTTTATTATGCAAGTAATTATAAATTAATTTGAAATAAATAGTACAAAACAAAATTGTCATTATTGAACTATATTTTTAAAATGATCTAAAAAAATATTTCCTTTTAAATGAAAAAACCACGAAACAAACTAACTGAACGAATCCCTCGTGAACATGTAAACAACGTCTACGTAATAGTCAGCAGCAAGGTCGACCACTGCCCAGTTAGGTCCGCCCGGTGGATCCGCCCCATTGTAACAATGGCCAGCAAAGAAATCAGGATTCGTGTCTCCATCAACCATCAATCCGACTACCGGGCGGACATAATGTATGTAAAGTGAACTATTGGTTGCAGGTTTGTTGAGAGCCAAGTTTTGCGCTTCATTAAACTCATAAAAGGCTGAAACATTAATTTCATTTGATGTTTATTTATCAATAAAATAATTCAGCACCATAAACTTTACCAATGGAAAAAAACACGGACAACCAAGGACGATATCTTGACATTTTTAAAGATTACTAATTTTAAAATAATGAACGAAAATGGTTCTTCAATTTATATTTATGCGTTTTTCATTCTTTGCTTGACACATTCAGCGCTTATAGGCTTACACTAGTACACGTGAGACGACTTAACATGCTCGCTTATGGGTTATATATGCTAATTGTATCTATATTTAAGTCTATACACATATAGTATATGTATAAACTGTGAGCATATTTTTTATATAAATGTATATAAATCTGTTAATATAAATATCATAAGCGATAATGTTATGAAAAACCAAATAATTGCTTAAATTTTCAGGTATAAAAGAATTCATCAATAAATTGCTTATGCCTGTCTCAACAGACCATTATTCATAAAAACAATTTTTTGCAGAAGATCGTGACGAAAGACAATCAGCAGAAAAGTTATTCTCATTTTTCTTTTTTTGAAAACATTGTATGATTTAAAAAATTGGTTGGTGGAGTCTTATTTTCGTATGTTATCTCTCTATATTCAGTTAAGTACCACCGATGTTTGGTTAGTATTTTTTACAGATTGCAGCCAATAGATATTTTTGAAAGTAAGTATTTATTATTTTTGTTGATTTGAAAAAAAATATCAAATCCGTTTTTTGTAAAAAAATTTAGGAATTAATAGAAAAGATTTTTTCTAAATTTAATTTTAGATCTCTACATTTTAAAAATTTAATTTAATTTTAATTTAATTTTAATTTAATTTTAGATCTCTACATTTTAAAAATTTTGAGCCGTGTGCATGATAGCTTTTCAACTGTTATATTAAACATAACAAAAGATGTTATATAAAACATAACAAAAAGTATGAACATCTGAAATTTATTCAGAAAAACCACACCTTCTTGCAACACTCCGATCGATCTTAAATTAATATAATTGAATTTTCAACTATGGTAACAGAGAGCTGGTGCGTAATTTAATTCCTACCCAATTTAAACTGCTATGTTTTTAATGTTTTTATATTCTGGAACTGCTCTAACTTTATCTAAATCCAATGCCTTCATTGATTTAGCGTGTGTAGTATATTGGGTGATGAGATTTTGTGATGGTTGAGGCATCTACCTCATCCTGCTGTTGCTGCGTGTGTCTAGATTTGAATTTCCAATACAAAATGTTTCACGAGTGTTAATGTGTTTGTGTGCGTGTGTGTGTGCGTGTGTGTCTGTCTGTTTGTGTGTGTGCGCGCGCGCTCGTGTGTGTGTGTGTGTTCGTGTGTGCCTGTACATACCTCTGTAAATAAAATGTAAATAAAATAATGAAAAATAAAAACAGATAGTTGAAAGGAAACTGTATTAACTTTATTAAAATAGTACTTCTCATGAGCAGCATTTTGGGGAAAGCCCCCTTGCCACGTCCATTTGGCTCCAAGTGGGAGAAAAACTGTTAGCGGGTGCCAGCCGGGCTGTAACACCCACCGATGAATGAATGAATGAATGAACGAATGAGTCAGCGAACGATTGAAGGAACAAAAAATTTAATAAACAAAACCTAGATAACGATAATCTAAAAGTTTAGAAAAAATAATGTTAGACACGCAAAATAAAAATGAATAGACTTAACTAAAAATGGATATCTTGAAACAAAAATTTGTAACAAACCTAGATGTTTTTACTCGTGTATGTTTGTATCGTGTTTGTATCGTGTTTGTATCGTGTTTGTATCGTGTTTGTATCGTGTTTGTATCGTGTTTGCTTTAGTGCGATGTATGTGTGCTTAACAAAAAACAAATTCAACCCTTAACTTGTCTATTGTTTATAAACTCAGTACATTTTATATTGATTTTAAATTTTTTAAATGTAGGAAAGATGTGAAAGCAAAAGTTATGAAAGCAAACAACGGTAGATAAATATCCCAGTATAACCGCTGTTGTTTGTATATATGTGCTTTATGTTTGTATGTTTGTCTGTGCGTTCAAAAAACGCGTTTGTAAATAAGTATGTACGCACGTACGTATGTATGTACGCACGTACGTACGTACTTACGTACGTACGTACGTATGTAATTATTTATGTATTCCGGAAGCATCCTCACAACACAGAATGTTACCAAATGGATGAATGAATGCGTTTTAATACCGTATTTTGCAAAGTGTTGTGTTGAAAAAAATTTGCATAAACTTTTAAAAACAAAAAAGAGAAAAAAGAGAGAGAGAGAAAGTAGAGAGAAAGACAGAGAGCACTCGATTAACCTATGATTCTAAAATAAATAAACTATGCCAATTAGCTCACCTCATAGTTGTATCGTACCTTGTTGTACAATTACAAAGTATGAGAGAGAGAAGATAATGCATATAAAACAATGCAGTGACAACGAATGCCTGTGTATGATACTGCAGATACGACTGCATAAAGTACACTCTCTCACCACGACTAAATTTGCGTTACCGTCAACACCTAACTCGTTTTAGCCTGTTGTGAAATTCTGTAATGTCAGGCGTTGATGTTTCGGTACATAATTTGTCTAAATTTTTTTATAACAAGATTACTTCAGTTATGGAGTGCAATTTTAGGGATTGTATTTTTTTAATAGCCCTTTGAATGTTGTTGCAAACTGTACAAACTTAACAGTCTAGCTGTTTTTTGCTTCATCTGGTTCCACTTCTTGTTTTCAAGAAGTACATTGATGTATTCTTTTCATTTCATCAGATTTAATCAATTTATCCCTTAACTCTGGTCAGTTTTCTTTCTTGCTGAAACATGCAATGGTTGTTCCCACTCTGAAAAAAACCTAAACCCGTGTAAGTGTGTGTAATTGGTTGGCTGATTGGTGATTGGTTGTTTTGTTGGTTGGTCTGTTGCTTGATTGGCTTGTGTCGTTTGGCTGGGCGTTGGTTGTTTAAATGTTTGATTGTTTGATTGATTAGTTGTTTGATCGTTTGGTCGAACATATATGTGCGTGCGTGTGTGTGTATATGTAAGTGTGTATAAGGTTGTCTGCGTATATTCTTTTTATACTTACATATAGTTGATAACAAATTTAATTATTTACAATAAAATGCAATGATAAAATATTTACTATTGACTGGTCGGTTGGTTGGTTCATTGGTTCATTGGTTGCTTGGGTATATATATATATATATATATATATATATATATATATATATTAAATAAAAATATTAAATATCCATGCATGCGTATATTTATAACATAATATAAATTTAAATTTTCAGAAATTGTTGAAAAAACCCATCCTCTAGATATTAATTTAAATCACAGCACCAACCTTGTTGTTTGTACAAAAATAAACAGTATAATGATAATAATATAACAACAATAGCAGAAACGGCAGCTGTAGTAAATGTAAAAGCAGACTAGAAGCAACCACAACAACTGTCGGAATAGCATCAGTAGTAGAAATAGTAAACAGTTCAAAACTTTGCATACGTTTATAAAATGTTGTTGTGTTTTGTGGTTGTGTGAATTCACACATAAACATTAATTTATTTATTTGTACGTGCAAATAATATATATAATATATATATATATATATATCTCAAACCAGCTAACCAGGAAGTCTGTAGGCGTTCGTTGAATTCATCTTTTTATGGCTAGTAATGATAGTGTTTTGTATAGGTCACATATATTTTTCTAACTTGAATGTAGGAAATAATAAGAATGTATAAACGAAATTTAGTATAATTTGAGGCCGAGAGGACGATGAAATCAGATCGGACTTTTTCGACAGTTCGGCGGTTGGAGCATAGCGTTGCTTCTGAGCGTTTTTTAGCATGGTCCTGTTTCCATTTGTCAAAAATACTCGTCATATTCGAGAAAGAGAGAGAGAAAGAGAGAGAGAGAGAGTGTGCGTGTGAAAATGTGTGTGTGTTTGTGTGTAGTACAGCTCTAATGATTTCTTGAAATAATACACTGCTATTCCCAGCGAAAAGAAACATGTTATTTGTTAATATCTTAAACAAACACAAAGGCAAAACTCGTTCAAATAAATTCTTTTCGTCACGATAGCGATTGAGTGGATACAATATGTCAATAATAAGAAACATCACGGCGACCTTTTAATTATAAGATAATTAAAATTATAATTGTAAAGTAATTATAATTAAAGATAATAACTATATATTTTATCATATAAGAATAGATGGTAACATAATTTGTAACTACAATTTTTGCGGTACGATTCGATTTTGGTTGCCTTCATTGTCGCATATTCTCTTATTGTCTCCATTTTGCTATATATGTACGTATGTGTGTATGTGTCTGTAAACTCTTATATATTTGTTTAATGGTAGGGATAATTATGTTTATTTTGATTTAAACATTCATTGAGAATAAAAAAGTTTATGATTATAAATTAAATAGTAAATAAAATAAATAATGGAAAAATAGCAATAATTAAATTATTTGTCCTCTTCACGCCGAGTTAATTCATTCCAAATCATTCACTCGTTTATTTTAAGTTGTGTAAGAACTATTCATGTCTCAGTTGGTCTCTGCGAACTTCTTTCGAAGATTTTTTTTTTGTTTGTAACTTCGTGGTTGTAGAGGCGGTTAGGCAAGAGTTTCACTTTAATGCGACGAATTTATATTTGTAAAAATAACAACAATTACAGTAAAATAAGTTCATGGTAAAAAAAGATTGTCACATTTATTTTAATTTCAATATAATTTTTCTGATATAATGATATAAATTAACCAACTTGTGATTTTTAAATTTCATAAATGTTTATCACTATTGCTTATTTAAAAAACAATATTAAATCATTCTAACCAATATATTTAAAAAGTTTTTAAAATTTATTTGTTCATTAAAATAAAATTGACTGTGAGTTAAATGGAGAATGTTTTAGTAACGTTGGCGTCATCCAGTGTGGCAAATCGAATAAAGAAACAAACCATTCAACCAACCAGTAAACCAACCAGTAAACCAACCAAATATGAGCATTTGTTTATTCAAATGTGAGCATTAGATGAAACAGCTCATTCGTCACGAATTCATTTGCGAGAAACATCTACTCACAAAAATTAGCATGAAACTCATTTGCACTCATCAATATGTCAATATGTTTTTAAATAAATTTTTCAAAAATTTTCCAATGTTTCACTGAATGTTCATCAAGTTGAAGTTGAATCAAGGACGGAATTAGGCCTATCAAAGTTATATATGCATCCAATCATCAGTTATTAACATTACCAATAAATAAAATTTCGTTGCGAAACTATTCAATGTATCTGCCATGATGGAGTTGTTTGTTCATCGTTCGTTCATTCATTTATCTATCCTTTCCATTCCGCAATCACCGAAGAAACGTCTCCAACGATTTCTGACAGCCTTCCGATATCTTGGAACATCAGCTTGGCGTTCAGAGTATCATTCAAAAATTTTCGACTTTGACTACCGACTTCAACATCCAACAAAAATTTCAACTTTTGCATCATTATTTTATTTAAATGTCACTACTAAATAAAAAATTCCTAATCAATCAATGTAATTTTTGTCAGCAAAATAACTTTGTATTCATGTTTTAAAACATACTGAATAAAATTAAAAATCTGTAGCCAAAATCTATGCAATCAATAGCGCACAACGTACGTGCTTGTGTACGTAAGAGCGTGCGTGTGTTTGTATGTGTGTATATGTTTGTGTGTGTTATAATTTATGCTTATTTATAAATCACCATATATTTGATATATGCATAATGAGATATTCAAATTTTTTAAATTTGAATATGATGAATATGACGAGGCATATATGCAAATCTTTCAGGTTTTATAAATGTTACAAATCTGCAGGTAGACACTGCCATTCGAGAGCTCATCGTCGTCCAGGTAATCCTAAACAACTTTATTTATTAAAATTTTATCAAGTTTGTTAGAGTTTTTTTTTAAGTAATCGTCTTATTTAATTTTAATTCTGATTATTGTTGTATTTTTCAACCATCAGGAAAGCGAAATCTTCTATTAAATATTTGAAAGATTTATTTTCACATTATTTAACAAAAAATTTGCTATGAATGACGGTGTTTAAATATTTAAAATATCCGTTCTTGGCTACAATAATAACTTTTTTATTAATAATAATAATATTAATATTTTTTATTAAACTTTTTTATTTTCTATATAAGAACTTTTCGTTCATTTACATCGCTTTACAAAAAAATTCATAAATTGATCCTAAAGGTTTAACAACTTATCTTTCAGGTCTAAAAACAAACGCCAACAGCAGAAACAACATACACTTACAAACTTCAACAAGATGCTATTTACAAAGAATGAATCTCCTTTCTTTTATTTTATTTCGCTATCCTCATCATCTTCGTCATCCTCATTTCAAACCCAGTCAATAATCTGCCTGTCAATGAAACTGAACAAGCTAACCGACGAAGACAAGGTCTAGAATATTTAACGAAATTATTTGAAACGTTGGGAAAGATAGCTGAAAGAATTACCATGATGAATATTACTTATAATTATAATTCATCGTTGAGTTTAGTAGGTGAAGCAAATAAAAGATATAGAATGGCAAATGCATAACGTGGATATTTTTATACATGATATAAAAGCTATGATGAACATGATAAATCTTGAATAATTTTATTTTGTTAATTTTTCTCTTAACTTTATTAATAATTATTCATTTTTTTATAATCGGTGTTTTTTCTGTGAAGGAATAAATTGATCATGCTTTTTAACGGCATCTTCTTTGTCAGTTGGTCGTTCCTTGTTTAATTTTTGTGTTTCCTAAATGAAACACGAAACGATGTTGAACATTTAATTATTTCAACATCACAAAAGTTAAGACAAATTTATATAGTTTCTAAAACGAACATTGTTCAATATGAAAAATTAATGAGTCAAAACTCAATTAATCAACCAACTACCGGTCAACTGATCGTACATACATTGTTAGTTGAAATGTTACTAGCAGTTTATTTATACTGTTATAACCACTGCAATGATCAAATTGCGCTATAATATTCGTCATCTTATATTATTATTATAATTGACACATTCCTGGGTTCAACCTGTTTAAATTTAACAAATTAATTATAAATTGACGGCGTTATTATGTTAATTAAGAATTATATATATCTTATACGGCCATATTTCGATTCCGAATGAATCATCATCACTGATGATGACTGATGATATTAAAATTCAAAATAAACTTATTTTTCGAATTCATGTCGCAAATAAGGCCATATTTCGATTCCAAATGAATAGTGATGAAGATTCATTCGGAATCGAAATATGGCCTTATTTGCAGCTTGAATTCGAAAAATAAGTTTATTTTGAATTTTAATAAACTAAACGTTCATCAAAAAACTTTAGTGAGAAAAATCGAAAAAACGAACTACAAACATATTAACGCCAAACATTCGGTAGAATTTATAGAATATATATATATATATATATATATATATATATATATATATATATATATATATTTCAAAAATTCAACGCTTTTTTCAACATTGTTCAACTTTTTTATATTTCTTTAGTTTAATCTAGGATTGATTATTGTAACTCGCTCTACTATGGTCTTCCTGATTCTACACTCTATCCTT